TACCACTTGAGCCACAGCGCCACTTCTGGCTTTTTTCTTTTTGCTTATGTGGTGCTGAGGAATCGCACCCAGGGCCTCATGCATGCGAGGCAAACACTCTACCACTGAGCCACCTCCCCAGCCTACTTCCAGCTTTTTTAGTAGTTTATTGATATGAGTCTCGTGGACTTTCCTGTCTGGGCTGACTTTGAACCACGACCCTCATATTTCAGCCACCTGAGTAGTTAGGATTTCAGGCATGAGACATTAGCACTCAGCAAGTCTACATTTTTATTAAATTTTTATTACATTAATTATAGGACTGCCACCCAAACATTCTAGAACTATTAAAATCCAACTTCTCAATGATGGTTAATGATGGAAAAATGCTAATGAGTGAACTGTATACAGTCAATTACTATACTGTAATAACAATCAGAAATGCCTGGCTTATGACTGAAATTAAATAAAATCTGAAAAAACACCCTACATATTTGACTGGCAGAACTACAAATGAGTTTTATCTTCTGACAATATTCTAATAATATACATTATTTGTAATAAAAAGTTAACAAGAAATACAACATAACATAAAACCTAGATGCTGGTTGCCATGGAATTTTATGGGATGTCCCCCCTGAGAAGCTCAGATTAGGACTTTCACTGGTATAAGAAACAAAGACAGTAATTTTAAGTGGGGGAGGTGAGGGAGAAATCATGGAATTTTCATTTTAAATAAAATGCATGAAACTGAATTCCACTCCTCCAAACAAATTTTAAAAAATAAACAAAATGTAGATGTTAGCCATGTCCCTGGAACTATGAGAATGCAATATGGATTTCACCAGGTGCAATGGCTCAGGCCTGCAATCCTAGCTACATTAGTTGGGAATCAGTGATCAGACTATCACAGTGGAAAACTGGCTCAGACAACAAGAAGTTTGTGAGACTCCATTGCAAATCAATGGCTGGGTGTGGTAGTACACATCTGTTATTCTAGCTGTGGGAGAAGCACAATGTTTGGATACAGTGGCTCATGCCTGTCACCCCCAGCTACAAGGGGGAAAGGATCATAGCACAGGTTATCCCAGGAGATAACCAAGTACTACGCAAAAAGGAGCTGGCTCAGTTGGTAGAGCACTGCCTCGCAAGCAGGCAGACATTCAATATTCAGTACCACAAAACAAAAAGGGGACTGTTCCATAATTGGTTCCCCATCCATTGCTATCAGTCAAAACAAAGGCAAAGCCAGGTTCTGGTAGCTCACATCTGTAATCTTAACTACTCAGGAGGCTGAGATCTGAGGAATGCTATTCCGAGCCAACCCAGATAGGAAAATCTGTGAGACTCTTATCTCCAATATACTACTCAGAAAATGCCAGAAGTGGTGCTGTGGCACTAGCCTTAGGAACAAAGAAGCTCAGGGACAATGCCCAGGCCCTGAGTTCAAGCCCCAGGACCAGAAAAAAAGAAAAAGAAAGGCAAGCTCCATCTGAGAAGATGCCATATTCATTTCTGTATTCTTCTCAGACTTTCTAATTCTCACACTCAATTGTCTTAAAACTACAGAACAATTGAGATGTGTCTGGAGAAATATGTATCACTAACTTCAACAACAAATTACCTATTTCTAGATCTCTTGAAAGTAGGTTTTACAACAAAACAACAACAAAGATATTTGAACTATAAAAAAAGTTATTTGCAAAGGTTTCAATAATAAAATGCAATCCTTTTTGGGTTCTGGTAACCTGGGAAGAAAAATTGTAAGTTTAGTAATTTACATAATATCTGCTTTACACCTTATCTCTAATCTAGCCTGAGATTTAATGAGAAAACACAGTGCATGTAGGAAATAGGAACTCTGTACAAAGAACTTTCATAAGATCTATTTCTCCCACTATCCTTAATTTGAAAAGGAAATTAAAATTTTGGGAAAAAAACTAAAAACATGATTTTAAGCACTCAGCACCAAGTTTCCTGCCTTTTCACAGGAGAATGTAAAAACCATTTTAGACAAGATTAGTATCTGAACGCAGAATACAAAGAAGCCATTATGATTTAAACAGCCACATACTGATTATTAAAAATTCAAACATTGTCATTTATCTTCAGTACTTACGCAGGAACACCATTGAACTCATCCATAGTTATAAATAACATTTCTTTAATACTTCGCTGTTCTTTAGGAGGCTTCTTTGTGGGTGCAGATTCCTCAACTTTGATTGGTTCTGCTGGGTCAAGATTTGATTCACTAGCCCTACAGAACAGAGATGGAGATACATATGGTCAATTGTTAGAATTAAGAAACATACTAGAAATCTTTCTGATAATCCATCTTAAATTCATGAGTCATCCTGTTATAATAATTTTATAGCCCTAATACCGAGGTGTACACACACAAACACATACACAAACTACTAGTATACTGACAGAGCTAATGCCTCTCTCTGGGGTATTTGTTTTCATCGGTCTAAAATCCAGATAGTGAAAATAGTTATCAGTATACTTACAAGCTCTGTGTTACTTTCACTTGAGGCAGATGAGCAGGAATGTTTTCTTGGAGATGTTCTACATCTTTATAATCTTCTTCAAGAGAGTCACAGAGCTCCTAGAATTAAAAAGGGGGAAAAAAATCTCATGAACAAGCTTTTTTCTGTCTGGTGTAAGACATTCCAAAGACAGGAGGGACTGGGAACAACAATCACAGTGGAGTGCTGAGAATAGAGTGAAGTGGAAAAGCGCTAAACACATCAAAAAGAAAGAGCTGCAGGGTGCCAGTAGATCACACCTGTAATCTTACCTACTCAAGAGGTTGAGATCTGAGGATCATGGTTCAAAGCCAGCTGGAGCAGAAAAATCCCAAGAGACTCTCTTCTGTAATTAACCAGCAAATAGCCAGAAGAGGAAGTTTGAATCAAGGCAGAGCATCAGCCTTGAATGGAAAAAGCTAAGAGTCCTCTGGCCCCAAAGTCAAGCTCCAGTAATGGCACCAAAAAACAAAAAAGAAAAGAGAAGAGACAAAAGAAGAGGAAAGAAGAGGAATGAAGAGAAAGAAGGAAGGAAGGAGGGAGGGAGGGAAGGATGGAAAGGAGGGAGGAAGGGAGGAAGGGAAGAAAGACAGAAAGACAGAAAGGAAGGAAGGAAGGCAAGCAGGCAGAAGAGAGAAAGAGAAAGAGAGAGAAAGAAAGAGAAAGAAAGAAAAAAAGAAAAAGAAAGAGAAAGAGAGAAGGGAGAGGGAGGGAGAGAAAGAGAATGAAACAGGGAGAGAGAAAGAAAGAGAAAAAAGAAAGAGGGGAGGGGTGGAGAGGGGATCTAGGGAAGAAAGGGAGAGAGAGGACAGGAGGAAGGACAGGGCTCAATGGTAAAGTGCTTGCTTTGTACCCATGAAGGCCTGTGTTCGATCCCCAGCACCCACAAAGAAAAAAGCTTTGGGCTTCTAGAGCTGGTTTGAGAGGGTGATCCATTCCTCTCTAGGGATTTTTTTTAAAAAAATTTCTGAGAGCAATCACTCTAATCACATTATATCTGAGAGGCAGGGTTGAGTTTTAAGTCTTGCTCAAATAATGTTCACCTTGGGAAGCAACTAAGAAACAGATGAAAGATGGATGTTTCTCATTCTGGTAAACTGCTTCTGTTGACTGAGCATACATTCCCAGTGCTACCTGTGTACAAGGTACCAGGGAGATAATGCCCATTCAGGTGATGAACATGGGGTGCTGCTTAGAATGGCTTCAACACCAGTGTGATTAAAATTTCTACTTGATCATAACTGGCTTTGTTCTCAGTGGTGTTAGGTGATTTGGTTTTTTTTTCTTTTTTAAATGTTTTTATTTAGTACATGTATTGTATTTATTTAATAAATTAGAATGAGGCAATAAAAATCATGCAGATTTTAACAAGGAATATATTCTGTACGTTCGGATTCTTTCATCTGGCTCCAAAGCATAATGGAAACAAATTCTAAATCACCTTTAGTTCTCAGCTGAACAGTCTCTAAGCTTACACCTGCCCTGGTTGTTCTTGGACAGGTTGGAATTGAAATACCAATACTAGTTTCTGTTTCAAATTTATGATGTTTCTTCTAAAGTACTAAATGAGAGCTGGGCATGGTGGCTCACAACTACTTGGGGGAGTGAGATCATTGTTCAGTATCAGATCAGACAGTTAGCAAGATTTCACCTCAAACATCAAAGTGTAGTGGTAGGCTTGTAATCGTAGCCAGGCAGAAAGCCATAGGTAGGAGGATTACTGTTTAAGGCCAGCTATGGGAAAAATGCAAGACCTTGTCTGAAAAATAACTAAAACAAAAAAAGGTTTAGGGACATAGGTAAAGTGATAGAGTGTCCACCTATCATCACACAAAAAAAAAAAAAAACAAAACAAAACACTAAATGACCTTCAGTTTCATGCTGACTATTAGTAGGATAGGCATAATCAATTCCATTCCTATAGCTGCAAAATCCTTACAGATTTTAAGGTTTACAAGGCTGAATGTGACTATGGAGGCTACCTTGTTCATTTCCACAACAGCATGAGATAATTAATGGTACAAACTAAGTATGTTCTCGTTAAAAAGTACATAAGCACTTTTATGAGCTGAAGTCAACCAGAAGTCGAATTCAGAACAAAAAGTGGATATGAGACTCAAGTTTTCTTTACTGAAAAAATCTCTGTTCAACATTTTCTAAAAGAGAAAGAAATGAAGAAATAAAAGACAGCTAGCAATCCAGCATTATTTTTAAGTAAATTTCCTGAGCCCCCAGTGGATGAAGGAGCTTCTCAAGTGACAAGTGGTTTCAACAGAACCTGAAGACTCTATATATCCCCCCAAGCCAAGCCATCACCCTCCCCAAGCATGCTTGATTTATAACAAACCTAACAAGCATCATTAGAAACCCTCCTCTTTAGTGAAGTTCACTTTCACTGGCTATCAGCATGAAGAAAGAAACAGCAGCAGAGTTGATTCTTCACCATGGACATAAACACTCACTACCACAATAAGTTAAGATACTAAAAACATTACAAACTGAAAGAATCCTTACAAATTACCTGGTGATCAGGAAGTTTGTGTTTATTGCTCTGTTTTTATTTTGTTTCTTCATTTGAAAAGCATTACCTTGAGTGACGTGTTGGTTTGTTCGAGATACTGAATTTCCAATTCAAATTTATTGAGAAGTTCATTAACTACAACAATCTCATCTCCTATTTTACTTAATAAGGTGTTTGAGGCAGGTTCCTGGCCTGTTATAAACAAAAATAAAGTGGAAAACAAGTATGTATATCAAAATAAGAACATAAAAGTACCCATGTGAACTCATAAGACAAAAGGCCATCTTTAGGAATAGCTGAGCTGAAGAAAGGACTGTCCTTTCAGCCCTAGAACCTGTTTCCATGGGTAATCTCTAAGTAGTATGGAAGAGAAGGATGAAAAGTAAGTACCAAGTATTCCCTAAGACTTTTGTTTCTGGAAAATTCCTCTACTATAATGGAACATCTGACAGACTAAATAAACACCTGTATATATGCCTGGCTGAGCATTCCTGAGAAAAAGGTAAATCTTAAGGGATTACAATATAAGAGGGACCACAGACAAGGTAGCACTAGTGAACAGATGCTGAAGCATCCTAGTCCAGTGGGTAAAGAGGGATGCTGGGAAGGAAGCTGTCAGCCTTAGCAACTGGATAGCCTTGACTTCAATGGGGATAGATCTAAAGCTCTGAGGCTTCAAAACATGCACATTGCATTTGGGGGTCATATTTATACCATCATATTTAATATTTACACTATTCTTATGTACACTAGCAACACTACTCAAAACTCCTAATCAGACCAGCAGGGTATTTTATGCCTATAATCTCATTGATTTAGGAGATAGATTGAGAAGAGCAAAGTTTGAGGCTAGCGCTATCTCAATTGATACTTTTGAAATTAGTCCTCTGGTAAAGTGGTAGCAGCCAAAGGGGCTGACAAATACCAGATTCTATTAAACTGGCTAAGGGAATAAAAACAAAGTGTTCTCCCCATGTATAAAATGACAATTGTCCAGGATATAGTGGTCATGGGTCTGACCACTCCAGTTAGGTTTCAGATATTCATGGGGTCATTTTAATGTAGGGTGTGTGTGTGTGTGTGTGTGTGTGTGTGTGTGTTGCATGCATGCACCAATCTTGGGGCTTGGACTCTAGACCTGGAGAGATACTGTCCCTGAGCTCAAAGATTTTAATGTAGGGGTGTGTGTGTGTGTGTGTGTGTGTGTGTTGCATGCATGCACCAGTCTTGGGGCTTGGACTCTAGACCTGGAGAGATACTGTCCCTGAGCTCAAAGATTTTAATGTAGGGGTGGTGTGTGTGTGTGTGTGTGTGTGTGTTGCATGCATGCACCAGTCTTGGGGCTTGGACTCTAGACCTGGAGAGATACTGTCCCTGAGCTCAAAGATAGCACTCTACCACTTGAGCCACAGCTCCACTTCTGGCTTTCTGGTAGTTAACTGGAGAGGGGAGTCTCAAGGACATTCTTGCCCTGGGCTGGCTTTGAAACATGATCCTTAGATCTCAGCCTTAGGAGTAGCTAGGGTTATTCCAAGCCACTGGTGTCCGGCTGAATGTAGTTTTATATATTCTCAAATGATTTGTTTATTCAACAGTAAACATGGGGGGCTGGGAAGGTGGTTCAGTGGTAGAGTGCTTGCCTTGCATGCATGAAGCCCTGGGTTCGATTCCTCAGCACCACATAAGCAAAAAGAAAAAAAAAGCTAGAAGTGGTGCTGTGGCTCAAGTGGTAGAGCGCTAGCCTTGAGCTGAAGAGCTGAGGGACAGCGCCCAAGCCCAGAGTTCAGGCCCCAAGACCGGACCCAAAAAGAAAAAAAGTAAACATGGTCTCAGAACGATCATCTAAATAATTATTAAAATCTAAAATTCTGTCTAAGTTGTTGCTTTTTCAATGAAAGTAGCCTAGAAGTAGAAAAGGTACCATACTAGGGATCAAGACTCACAAACTGCTGTTCTGCCTGAGTACCCATGAGCTGGGAACTCTGTTAAGCCATTTGACTTGGTTTCCTCAGGTATGAAATAAGGGGACTTGTTAAACTGAGCCCACAGTGTCTTTGGCTTGTATTTTCTATGGAGTAAGTGAGCTGTAAACCATAAAATAAATGAAGGGTCTTTATTAATGAAGTAAGGAGGTCAAGTCTGGACCATGCCATATTGGCCACATGGTGGATGGTAGGGTCTGACATCTTGTCTTTATGCTGGGGGAAGGACACCTCCCCCCCCTCTCCCCTCACACACCCTCACACCCCCCATACCCCCCCTCACCTGCCTCCCAGGTAATGGGTGTGCCAGGACCCCTGAAGGCAGGGGCAGGCACTTGGCTGATAGGTTACTGAATCTGTCAGTCTAGTGCCTGGGACTGGGAATTTCCTGAGGATCTGCCCCCAGCGCTGACCTATTTAGGCCCATACCAGCCTAGCCGCTGGAGGCCATGCCACCTGAGTTTGTGTCTCTGTGTCCTGTCTCCTGGCTCATCTCCAGTCATCATGGAGTCTCAATTCAGCTCTCCATTGGAACTGAATTGGCTTGTTGGTATTGTTTTTGTTATTTCTTTCCTCTTTAGCATGTTTCCTAGCTGTGTTATGTGTATTTGTGTGCTGTAGGCCTTTGTTAACTGTATAATAAAGACTCCAATATTCTATATTTTAAAATGTGACTTCTGGGATGATTTACCTTACAACATAAGAAGGCCTGAGAATAACAAATCCTTGGGGAGCATGTGTAATTCAAAAAGGCATAGCCAACATAATTTGATGTTGAGTGGTGAGGAGATGCTTTTAAACCATCAAATTCATGATCCAAACTACAGCAAAAGGCCAACTCTTCCAAGCAGAAAATCAACTTTTCCTGGACTGGAAGGGAAACACATCCTTCCTAAAACACTCTAGGCTTGGCATGGATCAGCTGTTCCTTTGAACTTTTCATTTTGACCTCTACCACTTCAGGGTTTTCCCTCTTGCATTTCAGAATATCCATTTAGTTCTGTAGATGTCATGGATGTCATAAAGCCTTCATATCTCAAGACTGCTCTATATGCTTCAGAAAAATCTAAGTGAATAATGCTGACAAAATATCAGCTCATCATCCAGTGTATCCTCTGTAGTATTCAAGTGGAATGCTTTTAAAAAAGCATTCAAAATTTAAAATTATCTTTCTAATATACTACTCGAAGTGGAACAATAATTAAAGGGCATTTTCTATACAGAAAGTCAATAATCTTATCTTACCAAGATTTCTTAGTGACAGAGTTCTTTTAATATTGCTGATCTTTTCATTAACATGAAAGCACAATTGTTCCAGATCTGAGGCCATCGTTTAGGTGTCTGAACAACAACAACAACAAAATGTAAACACATTTGTAAAAAAGGAAGGAAAAAAGGGAGGGTAGACTAAACAGACGGGAGAAAGGGCGAGTCACATAATTTTCTCATTTTCAAAATCCAAGAAAAGTAAAATACGGAGTAAATTACAGTTCTTTCAATTGTACAAAATTCGGTTTCTAACCACAGTACTGACACGTCTTAGAGCCTTCTGCAGCCCACGGATCTCAAAACCAGGGCACAGGGGATCATCCTAGCCCTTTTCCTTGAAGATCCGGTTAGAAAAAGCACTATGCAAAATACATGAGTACATTAAAGAAAAACGCCTAAGAAAGCACTTCCCATGGGGTAGGGCTTCAGTTTGTGGCAGGCAGAAATGCTAAAAGAGGGAAAAGCTCACTTCCTAGTCCCGGGGCGGGTGAAGGATGCCGGGCCCAGCCCGCGCCGCGATCCTGCGGCCCCCACCTGCCAAACGATGCTTCTGGCTGCTTCTGAGGTCCGGATCCTCAACTTCGTGCCGACCAGGAACAAAGGACTCATTGGAAGCTGGAGGCCAAGCTGCAGAGACTCCAGAAACCCAGGATCAGAGGAAGCAGCGCCCGGGGAAATTCAAACTGCGCGCCAGGCCCAGCATCGCGCAGGCGCACAACAGGGCTCCTGGAACACGGACTGGGCGGGGAACTCCTGGCTCTTCCTGGGTCGCAGTGGGGCGGAGCCTAAACGGAGAGGGGCCTAAACGGGGCGAGGCCTAACGGGGTGGGACCCAGCCCCATAGTAGGGGCAAATCAATAAAAACTTCCTCTCTTACCCCAAAGGAGCTGGGTTGAACTCAAGTCAGTCACTACAAACTGGGGCAAGAGCTCAGATAAAATTTTATGTCAACCTGAGATAAAATGACAAACTGACAGTGATTCTCAAAATCTTCTGCAGGGGCACAATGGCTAGGAATCAAGGAATGAAATCAGAGCTAACCGAGTAAGACCCAAGCTTTAGTATATTTTTAAAATATTACCAAAAGATTCCCAAAAGTAGCCAGGAGAGTGAGCTGAAGAAACAGTGGTGGAGCTTTTTTTGTTACTGTTTTTGGGGGTGGGGGGCTTACACTCTCAGTAGGAGAAAATAAAAGTTTAAAGAAATGAAAGTTTATTTTTTCCTAGTTAAAAGAAAGAAAGACAAAGACAAAAGTAAAATGGTACCTGCACAGCCAAGTACCAAACTCCCTCCATCTTTAGGTTCCACATGTGTAGCATCATGCATTCTAACCTTCAGTCCCTGGCACCATATCTTCTTCCCAGACAGGATGATAGGCAGCACAGCCAGCATCTGTAAAGCATTTTCTTCGAGGACACGCCCAATGGCTTCTACCCACTTTTCACAGATCGCTCATATCTGTACAGGAAACAACAAAAAAAAAAGTTTTAATCTGGAGAGTTGCATTTCATTCCAAAGAGACTAAATGTTTTTTAGTAAGCATGAATGAAAGCACAGGCTGGTAAAGAAGTTTAAAAATGGACTGGGAATGAATCTTTGATAGAGTGCTTGCCTAGCATGCATGAAGCCCTGGGTTCAATTCCTCAGTACCACATAAACAGAAAAAGCTGGAAGTGGCACTGTGGCTCAAGTGGTAGAGTGGTAGGCTTGAGCAAAAGAAGCTCAGGGACAGCGCCCAGACCCTGAGTTCAAGCATCAGGACTGACAAAAAAAAAAAAGATTTAAAAATGACACCCTCAAATATGCCATTCTGACATATTAATTTGAATTAATAGCCCTTCTCTTCTCATGCGGAAAGCAAGAGATGTAATTCCCATGTGAAAGATTAGCTCATTATAATGCTACCAATGAAACTTAACTCCATTTTACACGTAAACTGCATTTGTATACCGGCATGGAGGAGGTCTACAAAAGGAAAGAGGCCTTTAGGGAGTGAAACCAGCTGACCCTTGGGTATGAAGTTCAAGTTTGTGATACTGGGGAAAAAAAGTTATAGAACACATGGAAGTGGAGACCAAGACAATGTATTAGCAATGCTAAGTAAAGAACAAAACTAGTACACAACCCAGACATAACTATGGACATATCTGTTATCACCTGTTATCACAGGTGCAGTGAGTATTCTAACATCACTAGGATTTGTGGTGAAAAAGTAGGCTGGGGTTTTGGCTCAAATTCAACTTTGGGTAAGTACTCCACTTTGTTTGGATACCTGGTATATTTAGTCATTCTTGCTGTTACACTGTTTTATTAGTTGGGCCTACAGATGTCAAGGTGGGTCTGTGTATTAAGATGTTTCAGCATCTCCCTTTTTCTTAAGGGTACATTGTATGTTCTGCCAAATACTCCCTTCAAGACAGTTATTGATCCATCCCGTGAGAAATATTTTCTCTTGAAAGAAGATTTTTGTGTCCAGAACTCTCATTTTCCCCAAGAGTTTTTTCCCAGGATAAGTATTTTTCTTTAATATATCATAGTTATACTATTTATTTGTTCAACTAGTCAGATCAGAGGGAAAGAGATGCTATGTCTTTCTTTTAAAAAATTCCTTTTCATTAAGTATTGCACCTTATTGTTTGATTTGGGACAGCATAAAAGCTGAAAGCAAAGAAAATATTGTTTTGTGTGTATGTGTGTCAGTCCTGGGACTTAAACTCAGGACCTGGGTACTTTCTCAGCTTTTTTTACTTAAGGCTAGCACTATACCACTTTAGTCACAGCTCTACTTCAAGTTCTTTGGTGATTAATGGTTAATTAGAGATAGTAAGAAAACATCTCATGGGCTTTTCTGCCAGGCTGGCTTCAAAACCAAGCTCCTCGGATCTTAACCTCTTAGTAGCTAAGATTACAGATATGAGCCACTAGTTCCTCAGCTGCTACATGCTTTTAATCAAACTATTCCCTGATACAGTGTTTATTATTGAATTTCTGGCTCTTTTTTTTTTAACCAGGCCTTACTTTCCCTGATCTACCCAGCCTTAAACCTAAGCATACTTATCTTCACTGAGCCAGCAATTTCTCTTGTTCTTTTCTGAGAAACCATAGTACCCAGAAACTTTGAAGATGTGACTCTGGGCCATAGCACGCCCTGAGTCAACTGGCCTAGCTAATCAGGGTTACACACCCTACATCACCATCTGCTAACCCACCCACTTTCCTACTACCCCCACTTTTGAAGCTGGCTCATTATTCCAGGAGGCCAACATTACCCTGGGTCTCTGCCCCCTCCTCTCTTAGAAAATGAACAAACCTATGCTCCTTGACTGATCTATTGTGAATTATTTTACACCCTGACCATTGGTAGAATTAACTCTTGAACCCAACACTCACTACACCAAGTAGGAAGAAACATTTGCAAGAGAAAAAGAAATATTTTTACCATCAGAGATGAGAAATCAAGTCTAAGGAAAAAATGTACAACTAAACTTTATTAAACTCTCCTCTGTCTTTCTAGTCATTTATCGGTGATTAACTGGGTAGCCAACGTCCTTCATCTTGCCACATATCCATAATTTGCTACTCTTCATCTAATTTAGTATACAAGCATTTGATGCTGACTGCTTCTTCATTTTCCTGTAAAAATACACGTGAAAAAATGATTGGAATACATTGTAAACGTGTGGAAATGACACAATGCAATCTTTCCACTTGACAAGTGTAAGCTAAGAAAAATATTTTTTTCTTGCTAATTGTTTCTATCAATCCCTGTCAAAAAACACAGAAGAAAAGTTACCTATATTATATAGGCAAATTGGCCATTTGTTTTATTGGTTTAAAAAATAATCTCTTGTTGGGGAAAATGGTGGAATTGGAAACACCAAAATCTGTCTCCCTATTTAAATAACAATTTCAGAAACTGTGCTGCAACTATTTTGAAACTCTGGGAAGGGGCTTCGATAGTAATTCTTGTAGTAGCTGTGATATATTTCGTGCTCCCAGCCTTAGAAAAGGCAGCTGTAGATGGCTTCCTGGTGATTTAGGAACACAACTAGCAGGAGTCAGGGTGAGCAACAGGTCATGTGGAATTCCCAATATCTAAATCTGGGCTCTAATCACTTATTGTTGCTGTAAAGTGATTTAAAACTACTTCTTGGAGAAGAATGATGGGAGCCTGGCATTGGTCAAAATGTATTGTACTCATAACTCGACGTATGGAATTGGAACCTTTTTGTACAACTACTTAATAGTAAAATAAAGTAAAACTACATCCCCCTCCCCAATATTGATGACTGAGCCTAGAGCCTTGCCCTTGAGTCATGTCCTAGTCTTTGTTTTCCAGACAGAATCTTAGGATAAATTTGTCTGGGCTAGCTTCAAACAGTGATCCTCCTACCTTTGCTTTTCTGAATAGCTGTGACCAAGAATGTACATCATCTTATCTGCCATATTTTTAAAATAAGCTCTCACCAATTTTTGCTTAGGCTGGCCTTCAACTGTTATTCTCCTGTCTCTGCCTCCAGAGTAATTGGGATTACAGGTATACAGCGACATGCCCAGCTCTAAAACAACTATCTTATAAATACTTGAGTTGAAAAATACAGATAAAATCCCCTCTTGCTCCAAACACAATAGAAATACCTATAAAGAGACAGGGAACCTAAAAAGACACCAAAGAGGAATTCTTGCATTTAAAAACATAAATAACTAAAATTAAAAATTCATTAGAGTCCAAGTGCCTCTAGTGACTCACATCTGTAATCCTAGCTACTGAAGAGGCTGGGATCTGAGGATTTCTGCCAGCCTTGGCAGAAATCTCTGACTCTTCTCCAATTAAGAACAAAGCTAGAAGTGGAGCTGCGGTTTAAGTGGTAGAGCACTACCTTGAGGAAAAAACTTCAGGTATTCCTGAACTTATGTCACCTAGACAAGCCCCAGGACCTGGACACACACACTTCACTGGAGGTATTTAAAAGCAGATTTGATCAGGATAAAGAAAGAATCAGTGACCATGAAGACAGGATGGTTGGAATTAAGGTGTTTGGGGAAAAAAAGAACTTTTAAAAAATGGGAAAGCTGGGCACCAGTGGCTCACACCTGTAATTCTAGCTACTCAGGAGGCTGAGATCTGAGCATTGCGGTTCAAAGCCAGCCCAGGCAGGAACGTCTGTGATACTCTTATCTCCAATAAACCACCAGAAAACTAGAAGTGGTGCTGTGGCTCAAGTGGTAGAGTGGTAGCCTTGAGCTGAAGAG